CACAGGGATAAAAAGAGGCAACATAAACTGCTCTTCAGAGAATCCAGAAGAAGGGCTTGGCAAAGTCTTCAAAGCAGCTATCATGAAGATGATAAAGAAACTCAAGGAGGGAACTTCCCTGGTGGTACAGTGGATAAGAATCCACCTGACAATGCAGGGGACAGGGGGTTGATCCCTGGTCTGGGAAGATTTCATATGCTAAGGGACACCTAAGCTCAATAAGTACTAGCTATGAGGGAAATGTTCAGAAGAGCAGGGACTGCAACCTCACCCAGCACCCCGCTTGAAGAGCAGAGTAAAACCACAGGAAAGGCAGGCCACTGTTCCCATGCCCAGCTCCAGAGCAATGGTGCAGGGGCGAGGCTGTGAAACAAAGAGCTCCAGAATGCGGCCTAAGAAATGAACTTTACTTGGAACAGTGGGGATATCATGCCTAAGGACTTTGTGGGAAACAGTGGAGATCTTTGGGGTGAGTGGCTAAGATCAATATGATAGTTTCATAGTAGTAGCAACAAGCAAAAAGTAGATCACTTAGATCTTTAACTTAACCAGAGAAAGAGACAATTAAGAAGAGCCTTCCTGAGAGTCTCTTGGACTCAAGGAGATCAAGTCTGTCATCCTAGAGGAATCAACCCTGAATATTCATTGGAAGGACTGATGCTGAAGCTCCAATAATTTGGCCACCTGATACAAAGAGCTGACTCATTGGAAAAGACCCTGATGCTGAGAAAGATTGAGAGCAGGAGGAGAAGGGGGTGACAGAGGATGAGATGGTTGGATGGCCTCAATGAACATGAGTTTGAGCAAATTCCAGGAGATAGTAAAGGACAGGGAAGCTTGGTGTGCTGCAGCCCATGGGGTTGCAAAGATTCAAAACAACAAATACGGGGTTAGAGCAAGCCTCAATGACTGGCAATGCTTTGCCCCTGTGATCGAGTCTGATTTTAATTAGATCAAGAATGTGGAGTAATTAACGTCTCAGGGTGTTAAGGCAGTAGCGCCATCAGCTAGTAATGAATGGAGACTAACAGCTAGGTGTGGTACCAATAGAGGCAGACGGGCAAGAGGTTTAGCTGGAAGATGCAGAAGTCAAAGAGAGCTCAGCTGAAATCGCCCTGGTTGTCAGGGAGATAGAATCCATGAGCAAGGCTGTACCCTCTGAGGAGCCACATCAGAGGCGACTAACAGCAGGAGAGGAAGACTTTACTGAATAGTGCAGCCAAATCACTAAACAACAAGCAAGACCAATAACAAGACCAAGATACTGTTGCTAAGATATTTATCTAAAATGTCCAGTTTGTAAGAAAAATTATGAGATAGGAAAGAAACAAGGAAGTGTGATCCACACAGGGATAAAAAGAGGCAACATAAACTGCTCTTCAGAGAATCCAGAAGAAGGGCTTGGCAAAGTCTTCAAAGCAGCTATCATGAAGATGATAAAGAAACTCAAGGAGGGAACTTCCCTGGTGGTACAGTGGATAAGAATCCACCTGACAATGCAGGGGACAGGGGGTTGATCCCTGGTCTGGGAAGATTTCATATGCTAAGGGACACCTAAGCTCATGGACCGCAACTACTGAGCCTGTGCTCTAGAGTCTGTAAGCAGCAACCACTGAGTCCACACGCTGAAGCTACTGAAGCCCGTGCACCTAGAGCCTGTGATCTGTAACAAGAGCAGCCATTGCAATTAGAAATCCTTGAAGAGTAACCCATGCTCGCCACAACCAGAGAAAGCCCATGCAGCAACAAAGATCCAGTGCAGCCAAAAATAAATTAAATAAATAAATCTTAAAAAAAAGAACCCAAAACTGGGCAAGGCCTTGAATAGGCATTTTTCCAAGACAGACAGACATGTAGCCAAAAAGCATATGAAAAGATGCTCAATGTCTTTAGTCATAAAGAAATTCAAATCAATACCACTTCCCACCTGTTGCAAAGCATTGAAGAAAGCACCTGAAAATAACAAGTGTTGGTGAAGATGTACAGAAATTGGAACCCTCACACATATCTTTTTGATGGGAATGTCAAATGGTGCAGCCGGTTTGCAAAACAGCTTGGCAGTTTCTGTAAATGTTAAACATAGAGGTACTATATATATAGGGCTTCCCTGGTGGCTCAGGGGTAAAGAATATGTCTGCAATGCAGCCTGCAGGCATGCTGCTGCTGCTGCTGCGTCACTTCAGTCGTGCCCGACTCTGTGTGACCCCATAGACGGCGTGCTAAGTCTCTCCAATTGTGTCCGACTCTTTGTGACCCCATGGACTGCAGCCCACCAGGCTCCTCTGTCCATGGGATTCTCCAGACAAGAAGACTGGAGTGGGTTGCCATGGCCTCCACCAAGGGATCTTCCCAACCCAAGGGCCAAATCCACGTCTCTTCCGTCTCCTGTATTGGCAAGCAGGTTGTTTACCGCTAGAGCCCCCTGGGAAGCCCCTATGAGAAAAGGCCGATTCACAGAGACATGAAGCTGATCAGTAGTCACCTGTGGTTACCTAACAGAAGCAGAAGATATTAAGAAGAGGTGGCAAGAATACACAGAACTGTACAAAAAAGATCTTCACAACCCAGATAATCATGAGTGTGATCACTCACCTAGAGCCAGACATCTTGGAATGTGAAGTCAAGTGGGTCTTAGGAAGCATCACTACAAACAAAGCTAGTGGAGGTGATAGAATTCCAGTTGAGCTATTTCAAATCCTAAAAGATGAAGCTGTGAAAGTGCTGCACTCAATATGCCAGGAAATTTGAAAAACTAAGCAGTGGCCATGGGACTGGAAAAGGTCAGGTTTCATTCCAGTCCCAAAGAAAGGCAATGACAAAGAATGCTCAAACTACGGCACAATTGCACTCATCTCACACGTTAGCTGGAGAAGGAAATGGCAACCCACTCCAGTATTCTCGCCTGGAGAATCCTGGGGATGCAGGAGCCTGGTGGGCTGCCGTCTATGGGGTCACACAGAGTCGGATACGACTGAAGTGACTTAGCAGCAGCAGCAGCACACGCTAACAAAGTAATGCTCAAAATTCTCCAAGCCAGGCTTTAGCAACACGTGAACCGTGAACCTCCAGATGTTCAAGCTGGTTTTAGAAAAGGCAGAGGAACCAGAGATCAAATTGTCAACATCCACTGGATCATCGAAAAAGCAAGAGAGTTCCAGAAAAACATCTATGCTTTATTGACTATGCCAAAGCCTTTGACTGTGTGGATCAGAATAAACTGTGGAAAATTCTGAAAGAGATGGGAACACCGGACCAGCTGATCTACCTCTTGAGAAATCTATATGCAGGTCAGGAAGCAACAGTTAGAACTGGACATGGAACAACAGACTGGTTCCAAATCAAGAAAGGAGTACGTCAAGGCTGTATACTGTCACCCTGATTATTTAACTTATATGCAGAGTACATCATGAGAAATNCGAAGAGCTGACTCATTTGAAAAGACCCTGATGCTGGGAAAGATTGAGGGCAGGAGGAGAAGGGGATGACAGAAGATGAGATGGTTGGGTGGTACCAGTGACTCAATGGACATGAGTTTGGATAGACTCCGGGAGTTGGTGATGGACAGGGAGGCCTAGCGTGCTACAGTCCATGGAGTCACAAAGAGTAGGACATGACTGAGCGACTAAAGTGAGTGAGTGCTTGGCAGGTGGGAATGAGGTGAGGTAAAATGAAGGACTTCTAGTGGATACGGGGTTTCTTTCTGAGGTGATGAAAATGTTCTAAAATACTCAAGCTGATGGTTACACAACTCTGGGAGTATACTATAAGCCACTGGAATCTATACTTTAAATTGATACATTATTTGATAAATGAATTATATCCCAATTGAGCTGTTTTTTTAAAAGTTAAGAAAATGAAAATATACTAAGTAGTTAATGCCAGGCTTTTAAAGATTGATCTCAAAAAAAAAAAAAAAGATTGATCTCACATTTTACTTGTCATCTAAGAAGTATCAACCCAAATAAAGAAGGACCACAGGAATTCTGCATAGAGAGAACACACAGATCTTTGCTTTGACTTTGTTACAGACCTCTGTACTGAGACTGCCTTTTTTTTTTTGTAAAGGATTCGGGCTCTCCACCAAGAATACGATGCGGACGCCATGGCAAAACTGAGTCAGATGTAGTAATCCCGTGGCTTCGGGACTGTTGTAGGCAGTGTTGGGGACACTTCAGACTCCTTTGAGACAATGACAGTAATAACTGAACAGGCGGATGGTTTTAAGAGGTTGACAAAGCACACTGTCTGATCACCGCAACAAAGGCTGTAATGTCTTTTGCCTGAGTGCGGAAACTGAGTTCTGTCTACTTCAAAGGCTTATTCGAGGCTAAAGATTGGCAACACCAAACCTGATGCCAGGCCTTCTGAATACAAGTCCAGGGCTCATTGTCCCCCATCTTCCCCTCAAAGTCCCTTTTGAGGATCACAGGTGCATTTAGGTTGCCGGAATTCAACTCTATGTGCTCAGCAAAATACTGAGACACTTAACCCCCATGCAGACGGAGGGAGCTCAGAAGTTCGCATGGTGACCACAGGCCCTGGAGCGCACTGGGACAGAGGTCACAAGTCTACTATCTGAGCAGCCATCATACCAAGGGAGAGCTCCGTGTTTAAAAAGCTTCCTCTCCTTTGCAGAGAATGTTGTAATTTGCTGTGTGTTCTTTTACTCATATTGGCTACATTATTACATGCATCATACATTTTTTTTTGCCAGGTTGAATACACTATACTTTGAATTTGGTACCTTATGAATCACATAAGGAATTCTCAAGGATGATTTGGACTCTGTGGTTTCTAGATGATTCCTGACTCTAGATTCTAACCCAGCAGTAATTAAAACGCCAACACCATGGACTGGGAGCCTTCTCCTCTGATGGCCCAGAACTATTTTGATTTTTCTGATCTAGGTTTTTCTAGACAAAAACCAAGGTGGCTGACTCAGAGTCCTTGTCGACAGAAGGAGAAAAACACCAGAAAGAGCGTGTTTTACCCTCGCCTACCTCCTCTGCTTGTAGGGTTTCTTTTTCAATTTTTTCAAGTAACTCTTTTCTCAGCAAGAACTCCTTGGTCAGACTGAGGGACATTTCCATGGCGTGGTGTAGCTTGCTCTGCAATATAACAACACGGGAAGTCTTGAGCAAAGATGATCACTATAGGAAAAAGAGACAGACAACTCTTCATTCAGCAGAATAGCAGGACCATAGCCCCTTAGATTCTGACCGGAATGGCTCCCATCCTGCCCACTGCAACTTGTGTTCCAGATGCTTGGGTATCACCATCAATCTGCACTTCGAGTTCTGGAGCGCGAGACCTGGGCCTGGCTGTTGTATTAATATTTTATAGCCAGTGGCTCCACTCCAAAGCACTGGCTTTTCCCCACAAGACCAGACTAGCCCTGGGCCCCTTAGTTGATTCCTCAGGATCAGATCAAGGTCCAGTGTGATGTAACCACATACCTTGCAGCTCTCCAGCTGGACACAAGAATTTCAAAATGTGAGCATGACCTTGTCTACACACATTTTGCCAGAGGAAGGCAGTGGGATACACACCAGACTAGGAGCCCCAGCTCCATCACAGCATGTGGCTTGAGTCCGGCAATTACTCTCCCTCTTTAAGCCTCAGGTTTTTTATTTATAAAAGGAAAACGTTGAACAAACATAAGCCTAATATAAACACATTAGAATTCACAATTTTAAATGACACTGTGTGGGTCCAATGAAGTTTACTTGTGAGCTACCTAAGTCCATCACTGCTGTTGCCACCGAGGCACTAGGCCAAGGGTCAGCAACCTTGTTCTGTAAGAGGTTAGGTGGGAACTATTTCAGGTTTTGCAGGCCAAGAGGCAAAATTGAGGATATTGTATATTAACAAGAGTGCTCGCTTCGGCAGCATATATACTAAAATTGAAACGATACAGAGAAGATTAGTATGGCCCCTGTGCAAGGATGCACACAAATTCATGAAGCATTCCATATTTTTCCTTAAAAAACTGGAAATAGAACTGCCATATGACCCAGCAATCCCACTCCTGGGCATACACACCAAGGAAACCAGATCTGAAAGAGACACGTGCACCCCAATGTTCATCGCAGCACTGTTTATAATAGCCAGGACATGGAAGCAACCTAGATGCCCATCAGCAGACGAATGGATGAGGAAGCTGTGGTACATATACACCATGGAATATTACTCAGCCATTAAAAAGAATTCATTTGAATCAGTTCTAATGAGATGGATGAAACTGGAGCCCATTATACAGAGCGAAGTAAGCCAGAAAGATAAAGACCATTACAGTATACTAACACATATATATGGACTTTAGAAAGATGGTAACGATAACCCTATATGCAAAACAGAAAAAGAGACTCAGATGTATAGAACAGACTTGTGGACTCTGGGAGAAGGCGAGGGTGGGATGTTTCAAGAGAACAGCATTGAAACATGTATATTATCTAGGGTGAAACAGATCACCAGCCCAGGTTGGGTGCATGAGACAAGTGCTCGGGCCTGGTGCACTGGGAAGACCCAGAGGGATCGGGTGGAGAGGGAGGTGGGAGGGGGGACCGGGATGGGGAATACATGTAAATCCATGGCTAATTCATTTCAATGTATGACAAAAACCACTGCAATGATGTAAAGTAATTAGCCTCCAACTAATAAAAATAAATGGAAAAAAATAAAAAATAAAAATAAAAAAAGGCTCCTCAACTGGTTTTAACACATAGTCAGGGTTATAGAGACATTTGGGGGATTTTAGGAGATATGGCTTTGTCGGGAGAAATCAGAGAGCAATGGGGGATGTCTAGGCTCTCAGTGAAGCCACAGTGATGTCCCAGAACCTCGTTGTGGCACGGGAAACCCCAGGCACTGGGGCATGAGCTTGGACCTTACTTTGTACGCGTTAAGGATCTGCAGGGTGTTTCCAGATGCCAGCTTCATCTGGATCAGCTCTTGATTCCTTGCTTCAATCGTCTCTAAAAACTGAGCATTCTCAATCTTCAGCTGCTGGAAGTCAACGTCGTGGAGGGCCTCGCCTACCTCTTCCTTCTACAGCTCAGAAAGAAAAGTGACACATCAGAAAGACAAAAACAAATATATATTAACGTGTAAGTGTGAAATCTTAAAAAACTGACCCAGAGGAACCTACTTGCAGGGCAGGAATAGAGATGCAGATGTAGAGAATGGACTTGGGGACACAGTGGGGGAAGGGATGAGCTGGGAGACTGAGAGCGACAGTGTGTATGCTACCATGTGTAAAAGAGATAGCCAGTGGGAAACTGCAGTCTAGCTCAGGGGCCTCAGCTCGGTGCTCCGTGATGACCCAGAGGGGTGGGACGGGGTGAGGGGGGCCGAGGGATGTATGTGTACATATAGCTGATTCACTTCATTGTACAGCAGAAATGAACACAGCCGTGTAAAGCAATTATATGCCAGTAAAAAAAATAATAAAGAATAGAACATGGCCAAAAATGAAAAAGAAATGATGTGAGGTTGTGACTTCTGTATAGCCATACATTCAATTTCAGGTGAGCTTTTGGAAGTCAGTCATCATTCAGTCACTCTACAAACTTGGACTGGGGAATCTGCTTGGTGCCAGGCATGGTGTTAGGCCCTAGGGATAGAGATCTATCCCTCCCCTGCTCAATGACAGTTCACAGGCAGGTCACAGCGTGGTGTCGCGGGACACACAGGGGCAGCAGGCAGACAGAAGCCCCTCAGTCAGGCCAGGAGAGTATGGAAGGCGGGGTCAGGGGAGGCTTCCCCGAGGAGGTGGTGCCTAAACAGGACTGTGAAGGAAGAGGCCATTAAAAGTTGTTTCTAACCTGGAAAACTCAGAATAAGCAGCTCATAAATGCCTTTTCTTTGATCACATGACATCTCTGCACTCGGGGTGCATCAGTGCGTTGGGTTGCCTCCCTAGCCTTCACCCCTCTTACCTGTCCCACCAGCTCTACGGCATCTCACGTCTGTGGTCACAAAAGCCAAACTTGGGACTGCTCCCCAGACCCACTTGCTGTTCAAGCTGTATACCTCTTAAAAGACATCTTCTTCCCTTTCCCCCAAATAACACAACAATTTCCTTAAGCCCATCCTCCAGCGCAAACTGTTTCCATCGTTTACACCAGAAGGCAACCCCTCCCTGCACTCCATCTCTGGATTCTGTGGCTCCTGGTCGTGGCTTCTGTGGTCTCCGTCTAGCAGTTACGCATCTACGCCTTTTCTCACCATCACCTCTCCCTGTGAGCCTGTGAGGACAGGACCCCAGCGGTGTCATCTCTAGGTAGCAATGGCTTTTAGGTTCAAGGTCAGCCAACTGCTTCCCCTCTCATGCTTCTGGATGCCTGAGCCTGCAGGAAGCCCAGAGAACCAGGAACTCGGTATCAGGAGGCACGTTCTTGAAAACGTGCTGGGGCCACGTTCTTTCTTCCGCTGAACTCAACTCTCCTTCGCTGACATCTCCACCCTGGCTCCACCCTGGGCACCACCCCAAGCGGTGTGTTCCTTTCCCACAGCAGCCAGAGCACTTGGAGGCAGCAACTACATCCCTCATGGGCCCCTGCTCCTTGGTCCCATGAGTCCCAGGTCCCCTGATGTGTTCTCGGCTACCTCTCCCATGTGGACTCTAGTTTGCAGATTCCTTCAATTGCGGAGCTCTCCGTGAGACACGATGCTGCAGGTGGGGTTACTCAGAACATCAGAACAGAGGGCAGAGAGACCACCCCTTTGGGGGTGGGCATTGTGGAGTGCACCGTAGGCCACAGCATGGCCCCCAACTGAACTGAATGTATCAGCTGCTCCCTGACTAAGCCACCCTGTGCAGGTATTTGGGGGGAATCAAAGTGAAGGATTTCTCATTCGTCCTTAGTTACCTCATGTGTTAAAGTTGCCCCCAACCTGTTGAGCCTTTGGGATCCCAAGTCAATCAACCCACAGGCCCCAGACATTAATTCTCCTGCCTGACTCTGTCAGTGTCAGCAGCCACCTCTGATGCACGTGCCATCAGTGCCTGTATTGGAGTTAATGACAGAAATACTGAGCCCAGAGAGGAGGGAACCGTGTAACCACATTCGAGAGCCCTGTGTCATGTCTGCCTTTAATCAGGAGCCTTTTGGATCAGCTGTTCAAAGACTCAGCAAAGCCACACTCCCCAAAAAGGTCAACAAGTATGTCATGAGGGGCTTTTTCAATATATAATTTTCTTTATTTATTTTTGGCTGTGCTGGGTCTTTGTTGTGGGGGCTTTTCTCTAGTTGAGGTGAGCGGGGGCTACTCTCTAGTTGCAGTTTGCGGGCTTTTCATTGCAGAAGCTTCTCTTATTGTGGATCATGGGCTGGTACACGGGCTTCAGTGGTTGTGGCGCCTGGGCTCAGCAGCTGTGGTTTCCGGGCTCTAGAGCACAGGCTTAATAGTTGTGACTTAGTTGTTTTGCGGCATATGGAAGCTTAGTTACAGGACCGGGGATCGAACCTGTGTCTCTTGCATTGGCAGATGGATTCTTTACCACCGAGACAACAGGAAGGCCCCATGAAGGTTTTTTTAATTCAAGCCAGCTGCATTACAGATTTATCAGCATGGAAACTGTATTAGTTTCCTATTGCTGCTGTAACAAATGACCACAAAAGCAGGGGTTTAAAACAACAGAAGTGTATTACACTTATGAGCTCATTACACTTACAGCTCATGAGGTCAGAAGTCCGAAACAGTTCTTTGGATTAAAACCAAGGAATTGGCAGGGTGACATTCCTTCTGGAGGCTCTAGAGGTGAATCTGTTTCCTTGCCACTACCAGCTTCCACAGGCAGTCTGCATCCTTCATTCATGGTCCCTTCCTTCACTCTGATCTCTGCTTCTATTCCCACATCTTCTCTGTCTCTCACTCTCCCGCCTCCCTCTCCTAAGGACTCTTGTGATTACATGGGACCCACTCAGATACTCCAAGATATTCTCCCCATCTCAACATCCTTGATTTCATCACACCTGCATAATCTTTATGCCACGTAAAGTAACATAGTCACAGATTCCAGGAATTAGGACATGGACATCTTTGGAATTTGGGGACATGGACATCTTTGGGAGGATGTTGTTCTACCCACAACAGCAACCTTAAAAAAAAAAAAAAGAAAGAAAGACAAATCCACATACCTGCCTCAATTGTAAAAGCAACTTTTTCCTTTGGACTTTGAGCGAAACATTTTTCAAACGTAATTTATCCTTCATAGTATCCTAAAAAATAAAAGCAAAGTTTAATCCATTGTCCTTCTTCTTCCCTATCGGCAGGTCTGCGACTGCAAAACGAAACTTTGAGCCCTAACAAACAGTCACTTATTTTTAACTCTTTAATGTCTACTCAAGCTGGTGTTGCTACATTATCCTTGCTCGTGAGCAAGCAGCAGAGGAAACTGGGTCTGCTCTATACAAATTTTCTATTAGTTTTAAATTCAAGATAACTTGAGTATATTGTTGGATATAGGGGCCTTTCCTGACAAAATGATCTTATGATTCGTTGATCTATTATCCTCTTGGTAATTTACACAATTTTTTATTACATATAACATGTTAGGGTTACTACCACTACCTATCTGCAGGATTCAAAGCTTGATATGCTACAAAATCTTTGAAAGTAAAGGAATATTTTGTCTCATTCTTACACTAATGGAACTCAAAGAAATTAAGGTTTACTTGTCCTACACTACGTAGTCACCTGACTAAACAGGCTCACACTTTTCTCAAGAAAATTGCCAATCTTGAAACAAACAAGAAAATTAAAAGGGAGAAGCTGATCTGAGATAACTATGAATATCCATTCTGCCTGTTTGATTTTGGCTTTGATAAACTTGCATTTTAAGACACACAAGCTTTGAGGGACACAAAAAAATGTTCATATGTGGGCGACAGTTATGGTGGAAAAAATGGAGTGGGGCAGCCTCACGTGGACCACTTGTGTGTCATCGTTCTATGAGAGTACTCCCCTCTCTAAGCTCTAACCACCTGCCCACTCACCCTCCGGCGATTCATGTCCTCAATGTACTTCATCACTTTCTGAGTGGCCAAAATACTCCCTTTCTTCTTGGATATGGTCTTTAGAATATCTTTTTCAAACTCATGCACTTCTCTCTGGACTTCGGTCCATCGAATTTCAGCTTCCTCAATGATGGCCTGGGGGAGTCAGTGCAAAGAGAAGACAGTTTTCAAAACTTTTCAAGGAGATTTCCATCTAAGGAAACCTAAGGTCTCAGGCCTATTTGGGTCCCAATGCCTAACATTTCTTCTTAGTCTTAGAAAGATACCCTGAAGATACAAATGGGACCATATGAACACTGTTATTAAAAAGCATGCCTCAAAAAAGTTACAGTATCTATATATATAAAGGGGAAGAACAAACAAAAAAGGGCCTCAAGTATCTCCAGAAATATGTATTTCTGTATCTGAAACGTTATCATTAAAATTATAACACTAATATCTATCATATATCACCATATCATATATATGTATATGTCACACATATATGTATATATCATATATATACCATATCATATATATATAATATCTGGAAGGTTATATGCCAAAACAATAACCACAGCCACATCTGGAAAGATGGACTAGGAGGGAGGCAGAGAAGTACTCTTACTATATACTTTCATAATTTGAAAAAAAAGTTATAACAAATCTATGAATTGATACAGAAAGACATTATTAAGTGAAAAATACAGTTCACAAAATAATATGATACCTTTTTATAAAGATATTCATACATACATAGGAAATCTAAACTCTAGGAGATAAATACAGGAACCAATAGTAATTACCTCTAGGTGGATGTTTTCAAATGTTTCTCTTTTAGCTTACCTGCATTTTAAATTTTCCTGCAACAGAGGTTATCTTTAAATTAAAAAATGCAAACACACATACATTATTTTAAAGAATAAAATGAGTAACCACAGAGCAAATCATCTTTGTTTAGGCTCTTTCACTGGGCTCCAAGGAAGAAAAGCATCTTCCTTCGCTGGCCAGCATCTAGACATAGCCTCCTCCCTCTCCATTAACTTCACAGGCCAGGACATCCATCCACCTTAAACGCTACTTTATATACATTACTGGAATGCAAAAGTAGGAAGTCAAGAGATATCTGGAGTAACAGGCAAATTTGGCCTTGGAGTACAGAATGAAGCAGGACAAAGGCTAACAGAGTTTTGCCAAGAGAATGCACTGGTCATAGCAAACACCCACTTCCAACAACACAAGAGAAGATGATGACCATCACCAGATGGTCAATTCTGAAATCAGATTGACTATATTCTTTGCAGCCAGTGATGGAGAAGCTCTATACAGTCAGCAAAAACAAGACCAGGAGCTGACTGTGGCTCAGATC